CTACGAATTGAACCAGACGTGCAGACAAAATTGGTAATGATCCAGCCGAGACAGTTGGGTCTCTGCAAGATGGCTGCATATCATCCCACTGCAGAGTTTAAAATTTCTGGCTTATGCCGTTGGTATGGATATTATAATCTTGGCACTAAAAATAGTAGGAAAGTGAAACGCTCTGTTAATGAGCGGGGACAAGACGTTTGAGTGATATCCGACGAGTTGGTACTTAGACCTCGAACACGTGCAAATATTCGGCCTTTAGCATATCACGATTTTGTGCTGACTGTGCTAATTGAACAAAACGACTTCCATTGTTAAAGACCGAGAGATCGAACATAGATCCGAATAAAAACTTTAGATCTTTTCAGTTGAAAAGAAAAGAAAATGAAATCAACACCCGCACCGGCAAATGAACCTCAAATAAAGGCTCATGCTTTGCTGAGCTAGTGTTTGCCTGTGTAGTTGAGGCAGGACTTACTTAACTGTGCAGCTGTGGTGTTGTACTACAAAACACAGTCAGTTTCCTACTGGGTTTGCGAGCACTTTGCATATTTTTATTGACACGAAATTGTACATAACAAATTTTAACAGCATTTCTGTCACTCTTCCGCAATGAGTTGTTGGATGATGTAAGTGAACTGGACTAAGTAGCTCTGGGCTGTCAACTTTTTTGGTTTTGTGCTTCTTTTTCCAAATTTGTTGTTGTTGTGTATAAATCGGAATTGCAACACTTGGAAGTAATAAACTTATTTCGAACTTTTTGATTTTCTGTCACCCACCACCAAATCTAAGTTTACAAACCAATATTGGTTAGAGTGAAAATGTTTGGGGTGCAACATGAATTTGAAATGTGTTCCATTTTAATAAAATAAATGTAAATATATATATAAATATGTAAATATATGGTTTTCTGGCCAAAATAGTTGCAATATCTATCAACGATATGAGTCAGTGCAAGTATCTACCCATACATGCTCATACATATATACTCGTAAATCTACATATGTGTCCAATTAATGTGCAAACAGGTCCGGCCACACGTTGTTGTGGCTTTCTTTATTTGCTCCAATGTTTATTTTAATTGGTATTGCAAAGAATAATTAAGCATCATGTTTGCAACATATAGCCACCACAACAGCCGATCGATTGGTACTGCGTCCTAACATTAGGAAGTCATTGGTGCGGGTCAAAAATATTTTTTTTTTAATTTGTCTAAGGCGGTTGCCGTTTGGCTGGGAATATCAAGCCCTCCGAGTGAATATCTGAAGCGACTGAGTATAAACGTATCAAGTCGAACACCACACCTTCTGGATGAGGAGCTTGGCGCAAAATAGCTTTAGCATTTTCATTTCAAACTCCTATACATCCTCAAAAAGGCACTGTTTGTTGTGCTCTATGGGCAGAGCGAATCATTGAGCCACACTATAGAGTCATGATTAATATCCTTTTGGTTTGTTTCCAACAAAAAGGCCTTGCAAGCTCTACAGCCAACGAAACAACAAATTTATTTGAAGGAAACTTTACGCGAGTGCTTAATCTTGCGTCTTGGGTCTGTGGCCTGGCATTCAAGCTTCTGCGATTCTACATCACTGGACTATTTTTTGTGAGGTTATGTGCTAGTCTACGCAAATCAAACTGAGACAATTGACGCCTAGGAAGTGGATATTCGACCCCAAATAATTGCAAAAAGTGCTCGGAAATTGGACCTCTAAGTTGGATTTCTTACGAGTCAGCTGCGACGATCACTTGCCCAAAACTGATTTTAAAAACATAGCGAAATTAATTTAAATAAAAAATAAAAAATAATAATAAAAAATGATTAAAAGACTAAGTTAAATTGTCTAATGGCGGTCGCCCCTCGTCAAGGAATGTCAACTCCTCCTAGTGCATTTACGACATGCAATAAAGCTCCTCATAAAAAACCATCAGCCGTTCGGTGACGGCTTAGTATAAACTGTAGGTCCCTCCATTTGTTGGAGAAACATCAAGACGCAAAACCACAAATTGGAGGAGTAACTCGACCATAAAATCATTTCAATGGTTGCAAAGCGCCTAAAATGTTTATAACAACAAGCCCACAACACTGTAATAAAGCTAAGTTCTTTGACCAAGAAAAACTTAAAAGCCGTAGGCGTCATTAAGAGCGCATCGCGAGTAGAACAGAATTCATCTCACTAAGAAAGTCTGGGTAATGTTTCGGGACTTGGGAGAAGCACAGGCACAAAAGCACAATCTTTAGTAGGAACCAGTTGGTTTTAATTTTTTTCCTAGGCCATAAAAGAGATTAGTACCACAACAAACTCAAGGGAGTGTCACAATCACAACAGATAGACAACTCCACTTTCAGCACTGGTCTCTGTGACCACTTGTCAAGCACTTCCCATAAAAATTTCAACTAAAATGTTTGCAGATACTTTTCGTTCGTTACAAGACTTTTACGCAGAACACGTAACTAACGGCTGTTCGGGAAATGTCAAAATTCAAAAGAAATTAAAGGCTCTAAATACATTTAAGACACTATATATGACTTTGGTGTTGGTCGATATTAGAATATTAACCGTTTAAAGCTTCTAATTTTATCTTCTCTTGCAAGTCGTAGAGAAGTGTTCAGAATCGATCTTCGGTTCATACATGTATATGAATGGGGTTTACACCTTCTTTAAATCGGTGCCTCCGTCTGCTTGTACACAAATAAGTCTCACGGTTTTTGATATATTTCAATAATACGCCGAACACAGGTACACTTTAAAATTAAGGTTATGATTTGCCGGAACCGGCCAGACGGCCCAACTAAAGCAGATAATATAAACGACCGATTCCTGGGATTTGTGATTTTGAGTCTTAAATCGTTCAAAAGAGTAACGGAGAGCGTGAAATTTGGTATAATGAAATGCACATGTCGAATTCGGAGGCCTGAAACTTAGCTACAAACTAAACTATTGGTATTTGGGAAGGTCGTGAAAAGAGCTGAAACGATGAGAATTGGTGTGCGACTATACACATCTGGTAGGTCAAATACCGAGAAGTAAAGATCGAAGCAAGACGCCTGACCCAAAGAAGTGATCTAGTGACTGCTACCCAGAGCATACTGAATATATGGAGGGCACACATCTACAACCTGCTGAATGACACCTAATGTGCACCAACAGGAGATAGCGAACTCGATTTCACTTGGTCAACTTTGAAGAAATTTTAATAGCAAACGCCTGCGAAGAACTGATGAGTTGGAATTTAAGTGTGTTCAGCTCAACATACTAAATGGAAATCCCACAGACTGCGCAAGACTAAAGCCCTCCGTCAACAAATTGATCAATGTGCTTGAGAAAGCGGAGCCAAGGAATTTGGTAGTAAGAGCGCGGACATGCGACATATCTCTTGTTGTCAAGCAAACAGTCATTGCATTCGCGACTCGACTCCCACGCCCCTGTTGGTAGTTATAACTTTGAAATTATGATAATTTCGTCTTCCAGCCTGCTGAATTGCAGTGAAAAAGTAAAACTTGTAGATGTTGAACTCGAAACCTCAAATTGATGACAATGAAAACGATATTCCACTACCCGACTAGGCCGAAGTTCGAATCACTTGCCCGCTTAAAGAACAATATACCGGCTGGAGCTGACGGCCTACCGACAGAGCTATTCAAACGTGAAGTGCTGACAAGATGCATGCATCCAAGTGTGCTCTGCACAATCTACAAAATGTAGACTCCCGCAGTCTGCGCCATTTACTGTGGTATAAGCCAGCTTTAACACCAATATTAATGTCAGCCTTGATATCCAATGCAGAACCATTATTGCCAGTAGGCGCCACTTCGAACTGAGTACCAAAATTAAAGTCCTCATTCGCCGAACAAAGACCAAACTCAACAAGTCGCTCATCATACCCGTCCTAGTATATGGCACAGAAACGTGAACGATGTCAGCATCTGATGAGTCGGCTCTCAGAGTCGTCGAGAGAAAACTTTTGCATACGATTTATAGTCCTTTGCGAATTTGTAGCGGCGAATACCGCAGACGTTGAAGCGACGAGTTGAACGAGTCATTTAGCGATATAAACATATAAACATAGTTCCGCGTCTGAAGAGACAGTGGCTACGCTGGCTAGGTCATGTCGTCCGAATGGATGAAAGCACTCCAGCTTTGGAAGTTTTCGATGCAGTACCCACCGGTGGAAGCGGAGGAAAACCAGATGGAGAAGGGCCAGAGTGTACTTAGTATTTCCGATTGCCGTCCAACAGTGAAAATAATTGTAACCGAAAATCCTTAACTTCGGAGGCCTTTCTCTAATACCCTCCATACGACCGATTTGTTCATGAAAGGTATAAATACCTCAGAGTAGCGAAGACAACTTGACTTCCTTCTTCTTTTACATCAATTTTTGCTATGAAACGACAGTAATTTATTTAAACAGTTTTGTTCCACATTTGAATGAATGAAAATAAATATGTGCTTCCGTACGAAAAAAAAAATACAATAAAGAATATTAATTAAATGGCAGTCTAGGGGTACAGCAATTTAAAACGGGGTACATGTTTTAGTGAACAAACATTGCACACAAACAATTCTTATTATTTCTCTCTGGTAGTTTACATTAAATAAACTTGTAGACCTATAAAATCGACATAATTTGAATATTTAAACGTGTCCTGCCGCTGCCACGCCTCCGCGTTTATGCATACATTTTGGCATCCAGCGCGCCAAGGGCAATAAATAAACCGTTATCACTGTTGTGTGTATAAATTTTATTGCATAAATTAACGCCTGCAAAACATATTTATTAACTTACATACATATTTATTCATGTTTACAAATATTTGCATGTATAAGTGTACATTTATTGGATAACACTTTTTGTTGTATTTTATTATTTTACTTAACCCACTTAAATATTATTTAAACGAATACGAATACATATATATATAGGAGGAGTAACTCGACCATAAAATCATTTCAATGGTTGCANATATATATATATATATATATATATATATATATATATATATTGTATATACATGTGTAAATTCCCTTTGCCTTACAACTACAAAAATTACCGTTGAACAAGAAAAAAATCTTTGTCATGTCTACTGCCTACATTAAGTGCCCAGAAGGAGCAACGGCCCCACACTAAAAACTAAGAAGACAAAATACCATGTAAAAGCGCAAATTACACAAACACATAAACATATGTTTGCAGACTTTATAAGATTAATTTTATTTTTGTAATTTTATCGCTTTTACCTATTATAAATTACAACCCTGTAACCGCTCATACTGCAGCACTCCACAGCGCTTTGACGATACTTACACATATACAATACATGAACACCCATACACACACAAACACACTACTAGGTGATATTGTGCATTTAACCCTTTTTAAATTTGAGACATAAAATACTGAGCATCAAGAACACCAAAATCCATAGAGATGTCCAGATGTAGCCATTATATACCGTTGGTTCGGAGAAGCTCCAACCGCGCTGCAAAATCGCGCGTAGACACTCGGTTGGCTTAGTCAATGGCAAGAAATATGTTACGATTTGCAACACCGGATACATGCCCTCAATGGGCCAAATAATGCCGCACAACATTACGATTGGCAAGAAGAAACCCATTGCCACATAGGTCGCTGTGCGTTCCGTATCACAGACACATGCTATGGCAAAGCCAAAACACATGCCACACAAACCGTTTAGTAGACAGAGTCCAATTACGAGCCACATGCTACCCTCAATGGCGAGCCCGTAGAAACCGAAGCCGAACATTAGCACAAAGGTCATTTGCAGTACGACGACGGCGAATTGTGCGAACACCTGTGAGAAAAGTATCTCGGTGCCGGTAATACCCGCCACCAAGCAACGTTCCAACATGCCCTCATTACGTTCAATTAGCATGGAACCTGATGAGACGGCTACCGATAGGAAGAATATGATGGTCAAAATGATACCGGGTGCGGCGAAATCGGTGAAATTCGGATTACGCTCGCCGTAAATGGGCTGCTCCCAGCCTATGGGTATGCGACCGATCTTCGGACTAACATCACACTCGCCGAGTATGTGTTCAACGAAATCGAAAAAGGTGTACTGCAGATCACGGTAGAGTAGTGTGGAGATTTGTTGATCTGTAGGAGTTGGAAATAATAAAAAAACGGATTAGCAGTGAAAACCATAAGTTTCGACTAGAAATATAAAAATGATAAATGTGTTACTAGTAAAATGTAGAATTTGAAGCATATTTAATTAAGAATCCAGTATCATTATTTACTCACTTGACATATCTAAACGCACATTAATATCCGAGGCATCTATAGTAGCATTATCCGCGAAACGTCCACTCTCCACGCGTTCATTCAAAGCGAGTGTGTAGTTTTGATCGAATACTAGTGAGCCCCAGGCATTGCCCAGACGCACTTCTTCATTTGCTTCGGCTTCAGTTTGGAAAAATTTCTAGAAAAATATAAGCGTTAAAAGTTTTTCTCAACTCCATCTTTCTCTCCCTCTCCCGTTCAATGTGTATTTAGTGCTGAGTTACTCACCACATGCGCACTTTTATTCGTTTTCAACATATCCAGATAACGACAACTCAAATGCGTTTGATTGCAACCGGAGAAAACAGGACAAAATTGATCGATAACCATTTGTTCGGAGAGTTCACCATTTGCCACAGCCAACTTCAATCCAGTGGGATCATGTCCGATAGCATAACAGAAAAGTATAATTTGTACAACGGGTAAGGCGACAATGAAAAGCATGACCCTTTATAGGATATGAGAGAAACAATAAAGAACAAACACAAATTAATATTTATATAATTATTGGAAGAAAATTTACTATAAACTTAATTTGTTTTTTATATTATTTTATTTCACTTTATTTTATTTATTTAATTTAATTTTATTTTATTTAATTTTATTTTGTTTTATTTAATTTTATATAAGTTTATATTTTTTTGGTTCTATTTGATTTTAATTTATTTATTACTTTATTTTTAAAATTTTTTAATTAAATTTAAATTTATAGTTTATTTTAATTTATATATTAAACTTTATTTGATTTAATTAAGTCAAATATCATTTAATTCAATTTTATTATAAATAATTTAATTAATTTATTCGGTTTTGCTTTATTTAATTTTTCTGATTTAAATTAATTTGTTTTATTTTATATTTTATAATTGCATATTGTTTTGTTTTATTTATTGTAATTTAACTTTATTTAAGTGTTTTTAAATTTGTTTTCCTCAATTTTATTTCATTTTAATTGAATTATTTTTATTTGGTTTTGTTTTGATTATTTAATTTAATTTATTGTCACTTTTTATTTCATAATATTTTCATTTATTTTAATGTAATTTAATTTAACTTAATTTTATGTAATATAAATTACTTTGTCTCATTTAATTTGTATTTTTTATATTATTTTATTTTATTTTATTTTGATATATATTAGTTTATATTTTTTGATTTAATTTTATTTTAATTTACTAATTACTTTATTCTGATTATTTTTAAATTTATTATTTTTATTTGATTTAGTTAAGTTAAATTTAATTTAATTCAATTTTATATTAATAATAATTTATTTAATTTCTTTAGTTTTGCTTTATTTAATGTTTTTATTTAAATTAATTATTTTATTTTTAATTTTTTTAATTTTATTTGTTTTATTTATTTTAATTTTATTTTATTCAAATGTATTTATATTTATTATCGTTAATTTTATTTTATTTTAATTTAATTATATTTATTTTGTTTTGTTTTATTTATTTTATTGCCATTTTTTATTTTATTCTATTTTACTATATTTAACTGAATTATTATGATATTTTTTATTTTGTTTGTTATTATTATAGATTATTTATTTATCTTTTTTTTAATTTAGTATTCTTGATTTAAGTTAATTTAGTTTTGTTTTTGGAATTTTATTTCTTTTGTTTGATACCTTATTAAATTAAATTTAATTTAATGTGTTTTTTTATTATATTAATTTAATCTAATTAATTTTATTTTGTTCTGTGTTATTTAATTTAATTTATTTAATTTAAAGTTTTTAATTTTATTTTGTTTAATGTAATTTTTTTTTTATTGATTTTCTTTAATTTAGTTTAGTTGCATTTTAATTATTTTATCTTGTTTTTCTTTCATTTATATTCTTTTCTTTTTTTATTTTATCTTTTATTTTAATTAATTTTTTTTTATTTTATTGTAATTAAATTTTTTTAAAATTTATTTTTTTTTTATATTATTTTTTTGCTTTGGCCTTTATTATTTTATTTTATATAATTTTATTTTATTTGTTTGTTTGACTTTTTTTTATTTGTTTAATTCTTTTTTTACTTAACTTTATTTAATTTAACTTTGCTTTTTTATTTAATATTATTATTTTATTTATTTATGAATTTTTTAGATTTTATATTTTTCATTTAATTTTATTTCGTTTTGTTTCTTTTAATGTAATTTATTTTAATTTTATTTTAATATATTATTTTATTTATTATAATTTATTTATAGTGAATTGAGATTAATTTTATTTATATACTGTATTTAATATTTTTAATATTTATTATTATATTATGTTATTTCACTTAATTTTTTATCAACTTATTTGCGTTTTTTTTTATTTTCTTAAACCTACCCAACATTGCGCCACATCCACAAAAAGTTCTTCCATACTAAAGCACGCATATGAATCCAAGTTATCACATCTAGTGCTTGCCAAAACGTTGTTGTTGGCTCATCATCGAAGGGCAGGGGTGAAGCAGGCATCTCTGCGGCTGTTATCGGATCACGTATTGCCGAATTCATCGATATATTATCACCAAATTCACCCGAAATATCGGCTGTGTTATGCTCATCCGACAAATCCAATGCTGGATTCGAAATAGCCGGCACTTGGACTTGTTCGACAATTTCCTGTGCAATCGACGAACGACGCCGGCGTCCCATATTCTGCATTACGGATAACTTCAAAAAGACTTCCTCCAATGAGGTGGCATTGTATTGTTGGCGCAAAAAGCTGGGCGCCTCTTCGGCAAGCATGCGACCGCCACGCAAAAGTCCAATCTAAACCCAACACAAGTAAAGAAGAAAAAAAAGTAAATATGAGAAGTTTGAGATTAAAAGTTTGGCTTAGTTGTTCAATTGTTTGGCAGTTTGCTTTATTCGCTTGTAGTTTTTGTAAATATGTTTATATGTACGGTGTTATGTTAATATTAAACAAAATTAGTATGTGAGATTATTCTAATAGAATACATATATATATATATATATATATATATATATATATATATATATATATATATCTATGGATATGTATATTCCATAGATGTAAAATTATATAGATATTTGTATGCAATTTTGTGCGCTTGTGTGCGTCCCCCAGCCAGTTAGCCACTTGCGGCTGAGTAAACTTTGTGATAAACCACATTGTACAGTTCGGTTTGACCTCTGCCGCAGTCAATTATTGTATACAACTTCAACTCGACTATCAATTTTGGTCAGTCAGTTGAATACATGGATTTGGATGGTGAGTTTGTGTGCAAGTACATGTCAATTGCTCCCTTTGCTCTGCCTTTTACACTCGACAACCAAACACAAATGATGAGAGAAAAAGTTAACTCTTGAGTTGACAAAACTACTTGAACACCAAAGGCGCACATATTCGTAGATACAGTGGAATGAAACTTTTGGACATTTAACTAAATACATAGTGGGCCTATTGCATTGTTGTTGCTTAATAACGCTTATATTCCTATAGAGTTGTATCTTAAATTGTAAGGAGGAAAAGAGCTTAAGACTCTTAATAAAAGCATTATTTTCTCTCTTACAATTTCAGCGAAAAACTTAAACGAACTATGAGCCAAATTACGTTGTTAAAAAAAATGAAAAAAATTTAAAAATTCAAATAAATTTAATTTAATAAAACCAAAATATAAAAAAGTAAATTTTTTTTGCGAGCAAATCGTCATATTTTGATTATAATCACTCTTTTGGCTTGGACATATTCGAAGTGCGCTTTTATGTAATTAAACATTTACTTTCCTGACTCTTTTTTACAACTAAAATTGAAAGGGAACCCCAAGGAGTAAGGATTGTGTATTATCTATTGAAATTCTAGTTGTTAGTTTGCATCTTAACACAGCAGTATTCAATTGCTCATTTTCGCATCAGCTTCATACTAGTTAAATACTAGTTCATTTACCGCTAATATGGAAATGAAAAAATTTTTACAGCGATTGTTGAACCGCGAAACCCCTAACTATTCCACTCTTGCCTTTAGAAGTATGGCCGAACTGCCCACTAAAACAGTGCGTATAAGTGAAAAATACACCCGTAGTCCAACTACAGCAGGTCGAGGTGGTGGAAATTTTTGTATTATTCCCATTAATTTTAGTTTACCAAAATTTTACTACAATTGTTATTTACTAAACTAGTTTGCTCTGCAGAACATACGAGTATATGAATGTGCATGTATAATTGCACTTCTCAAATGGGTAGTGAGTATATAAAAGTTGATTCTATCTCTTATCAACTAGTCTACTAGTTAGAACAAGGTAAAGGATTCTAGGAAATTACTCCGCGAAATATTTCTGTTGAGGTTCTCTGAGATTACAGAAGCAAATAGAAAATTTTAACCTGCTGAAACTCTACTTAAGGGAACTCTAAATGTATCTATCACCTATTAATTTTCCTCAATCTTAAAACTACACTTTGCCACATTCTAATATGAGCCCTTAGGTATGTCAGCAGCGGAAGCATAGAAGGTGGAGTCTTCTCGCCTCTTCTATGGGTTTTGGCAGTGAACCAACTGTTGAGATAGGTGGAGGAGGAAGGGACTGCAAATTGCAAAATTTCCACAAACTTTGTGTAATGTTATGCAAAACAGACTCAGGCAGATAGAAAAGTGTGCTATTGATGCCTGGCTAGGCATCAACCCACAGAAAGCCGAACCCGTTCTTTTCTCCATGAAGTATTTAGTAAAATTCCTAAATTTTCAGCACCACCGCTCTCAGGAACGGACCTGCGCATTGCAGAGTTTGCAGAATACCTGAGACTCATCTTGGACAGAAAATTGAGATGATCACAAAACTCAGAGGAAAGGGTGCGTCAATTTCCTTCTATACCTGTAAGGATGCAATAGGCAGGAAATGAAGCATACCACCCAGAATAGTGCGTTGGCTCTATGTCGCAGTTGTTAGGCCGATACTTCTCTTTAGGGTTGTAGTCTGGTAGCCAGCACTTGAGGAAAAACTAATTATCTCCAAATTGGGTAGAGTACAGATTTCGGCGCTCCTGTGCATCAGCGGAGCACTTCATATAACACAAACTGAAGCTATAAATGTGCTCCATAATGAGGACGAACAATGCCGCAAGGTTACAAAAGGTGTCCTAATAGTTAGTAATAAACCACGGTCATACTAGCATCTTAAGAAGGCCACGTCTATCAAAAAAACGAATTGCTGCATATCATCTACTGACTGCCCGGCAGTTTTTAAGGTGATTATCTCAGATAGAAACCTTTGGGACGGGTGGGTCAAAACTTGATAACAGGGTTGTTGGAGGAGTCTATTCAAGGGATCTTGGCATCTGTAAATCCTCTCGCTTATCGGATCGCTGTAGTGGTTTTCAATCGGATTTGGCGGTTATACATGAGGCTGTCAACTATCTCAGCTCAAGGGTGCTCTCGGACAATCGTATCCATATCTTTTCGGTTAGCCAGGCTGCATTACGAGCTCTATGGTCTGTAAAAAAAAAAATTTAACACCGTTGGATGCACTGCCGCAGATCGCTTTACATGATGACCAAGCAGTTATGTCTGAAGCTGGTATGGGTACCTGGACATAGCAGCATATCGGGTAATGATATGGTGGACGAGCTTGCCAGGAAGGGCTCTTCCCTTCTACTTTCGCCAACATGGAAGAGTCTGGGCATGCCGCTCTCCATTTGTAAGCTGAATATAAGAGCGTTATTCGCTACGGATGCTTATTAAAGATAGGAAAATCTAATTATATGTAATGTGGCTAAGACATTGTATCCAGAATGGAGCGGCAGAAAGTCAGGGGATCTCACCGAGCTGGATATATATAAAGTAACAGCTCTCCTTACAGGGCATGTTCTATGCGGCAGGTAAGCAGAGACACTGGGCGTGCCATTTAACGATTTCCACAGAAGTTTAGGAGAATAAAAATAACCTGAAACTTTAAGACACTTTATAAGCGAATGCCCCGCTTTTTTAAGGAGTAGGTTGAACTCTATGAAGGCGACAACCTTTTGAGACCTGAGCGAAATAGCGGCCGCCAAAACGCGGCGACAGCTCAACTTTGCATACTCCACTCACTGGTTTGATTAGCGGGTAGGGATCATTAGGATCCTCAGTGGTGTCACGCTGGGCCTGCTTTAGGCCTCGGTGTGCTGATGCCCAGCAACCACTTAAACCCACTAACCAGCCAATATGAACCTTTCAAATAAACAGCTGATGGTCGCCGGCGATAAAAGCTGATTAATAAGGCGGTTATGGGAGACGATTCGAATGTTGTGTTTCCATGAGGTCAACCAATTGCTGTTCACTCAGCTGGCCTTTGTTATAACATTAAAGGTTCATTTAAATACTTTCAACAGCGGACCAAAGTTTGAATACAGAATTTAGCTTTTACAGGAAAAAAAAGATGTAGTCTTACTTTATCTGGAACTGTAGACTCAAACACTAGTAGTTTTTAGGTGAAAGAACCACTAAGTTTTCGGTGATATGTACTAACTAAATCGATTACTCTTTACCTTTAAATTAAGGTTTGATGTGTCTCAAAAAACATCTTTAGATGATCTATTATCAACATATATATATCCTCTTTCCCTGCCACTTATTAAAAAAAAAACTATTGAACTAGAAATGAGCGAATTTTGTACGTGATTTCAAACGCTTAACTAAATTTTCACTATAAATAGCGAGTTCGATATTCTATAGCGTATATATGTGTGTATATACGAGGATACAGCAGTAGAGCGAGCATTTAGGAAGTTGAAAGTTGAAGCGATGAATGCGACGTGCGGAAATTAACTACAATAATTGATTACCATTTGAACATGAGCAGACACTCCCAGGAATAAATTAAACGTAAAGAACAAGTAAAGAGTAGTAAAGAGAAGCAAAAAAAAAGGCAAGCAAGTTTGGAAAATGAAAAAAGACTTTGCCTGAAGAGAGAGTGAAAGAGCGTAAGTGGGTGGGGTATTGTACGAATGATTGAATAAGATATGAAGCAGATTTAGTCGAAAATACATAGTAGTGGGTAATAACATTAAAAGAAAATTATTGATTAACACTGGTGGGGCTACGACAATTTTCGAGATATTCAAAAAAGAATAAAGTAATTTTGAAAGCCCATTTAGGCACCATCAAAAAATATTAGGATTCGGCAACACTATAATGTACCTGCTCACACTTATTTGTTAGCTATCTATTCTTGACCTGACTCCGTGTGACTTTTCTGATTTTCCAAACATAAAGGGAACTCTTCGTTTAACCGTTTTATTTTCTTTACATATTAACTTCTTCGAAACAAAGAAAATTTAACAGCAACGCAATGGCAAAAACTCCCACAAATGCCCTAATTAAGGACACATGTGTCTGGCGAACTGTTTTTGCTGGCTGACTAGTTGTTGTTGCGGTAAGCAAAAAAAAAAAAGTGCCAAAAATGTATGCAGCTATGTATGTATGTAAACATATAACATACCAATGTAGCAATGAAGACACCTAAAAAAATGTGATTAAATTAAAAATAAATATTCCGGGACTAGACGCATTGTTTATAATTATTTTATTGGCTTTCCTTTTTATTAATTCTAATTTTGGCTAATATATTTTTTTTTTATTTCTGAATGATTTAATACGTTTTTAGGTTTTTTTTTTAATACTTTCTTTTATAACTTTAATTAAATTATTTTTATTTTTAATTTAATTTTATATTTTTTTTTTTTGGATTTCTTATTTATTTTTAAATTTTTGTTTGTTGTTTTTTAATTTAATCTTTTTTATTTAATTTATTTTTTTTATTATAGTTTCTATTTAATTTTTTTTTTATTTTTATATTTTTTCCTTAAAAGTTCTATTTTCTGAATTTTTCGGGGACTAGTTGCATTGGAAGATTATTACTCTACTAATGCTATAAATATATTTTTATAAATTTTTTATTTCGTTTCCTTTCTATTAGTACTAATTTTGGATAGTATTTTTGTTTTTTGTATGATTTAATACGTTTTTTGTTTTTTTTTTTTAATATTTTCTTTTTTAACTTTTATTGATTTAATTTTATTTTTAATTTTGTTTTTAATATTTTTTTTTTGATTTTTTTATTTATTTTTAAATTTTTGTTTGTTGTTTTTTAATTTAATCTTTTAATTTTTTTTCTACTAACTTTAATTATTTTTTATTAAAATTTTTATTTTGTAAATTTTTCTGGGACTAGACGCATTGGAAGATTAGAGCTCTATTAATGTCACAATCTTCATTTAAAAAAATATTTAAAACCTACAATTTATTGAAAAAACCAAGTAATTCAAGTTTAAAAAGTAAAAATAAATTATTTCCAAATAAACATGTTCTATTATTAGACCCTTCCTGGCGTGGAATAAAGTAAAAGAAAAATCAAAATTATTAATTATGGTAAATTTCATCAACTGTGAAGAGATTAATTGAAAAATTCCAGGAGACACGATACGTTGGAGACGTTGATTGTCAAAAACAAGTCGTTTAAAACAAAATATCGAAGCAGTGCGTGGGAGTGTTAGTGACGATCAACGAACCGCAAATTTTATTTTCTGCACAAGAATTGTAAATTTCAACACAGCTCTCTACTAAAAAGCTTTCGCTAAAAATTCATATAAAATTCAATCAACACAACAACTGCAGCCTAATGGTCACATACGGTGATAACAGTTTGTTGACAGGATTATTGAACAACAAATGAATGCAGACTTTCCGAGCAAAATTATCCACAGCATAGCATTGCATAGCACATTTTCATTTTGATGGCTTTGTTAAACGCCAAAATTGTTGCTTTTGAGGTTCATAAGACCCACATGTAATTATCGAAAAATAAATGAATTTTATGCTGGCGCCATAATTGGAACATATTTTTTTGAAAATGGCATCCTCACCCTTATATTTTTCGGAAATGGCAGGAAATTGATTTGGGCAATATGTGGTTTTAACAAGATGGTGTCACATACCATACGAGCCATGAAACACTTCTATTACTGCATGAGACATTTTCAGGTCGTATACTCCGACGCTGATATACCTGATTTTTGCCTAATATCAGGGGTCCCTTTAGCATTAAAACATGATGAAAATAATAAAGTAAAATAGTTCAGAATGGTATAAATGGTTATGACTTTAATTAAAAATTAAAGTTTAAGGTTTTAAAAAATATCGTTTAATGGGACCGCTTGAATATAAAAGGAAACATTGGCATGTCATATATCTTCTTCCAACTAATTACGGCGAAAATCATTGATATTTAATGCTTGGAAGTCGCAGTCAAATTTTTTGGTTGATCCGCTTTAAATAAAGTTTCTTAAAAAAAAAACAATTGAATGGAGCATACAAATGCTCCTTTTCCGATCAGTTCCGGAGCTAAATCTTACTTTTGGTATTTGCTGCAACATTAATCCTCTTCAATTGGTTCATATGTTTGTATAATTTTATATAGATATATAGCTGTACTTATATACATTGTATAATGCCCATGTGTGTGTATCATATACACTGTGCAGTGCTGAAGTGTTAAAAGAAATAGACAAATGGAAAATAAGTAACTCACTCGGTCTGCGCGTAAATCTGTTAATAAATAAAAGTTAATCCTTAAGTTTGTACTGGATTACATAGCATAGAAATTGACATTATTTACAATTTCCGGCTTCCGTCCAACTTAATTTAATATCAATAGAAAGTTTTCGGCACACACATTGCCGAAGCGCCAAAAGCTAAAAGCCAGTAAAGTATTGTACCAAAAGTAACAACTAACATAAGGATGCATACATCGAGTACAAATCTACATACACGTACATGCATATATACATTCAGCCTCAAGTGAGTGTATACGTTGGAGTAACGAAACGTGTAGCAAACAGTTCGCGTAAGAGCATTAATGCTTAGAGGCTCAGCACGGCGTATACGCAATGTATCATACCAAACAACGCTGGCAGGCGCAGGCAGGCAATGGGATTAGACGATGAGAGTGAGTACGCGCTAGAGCGGTGGCAACACTGAATTGTAGGTACTATTGTAGCATGTCTTACACGTAACATTGATACAAACTTGTTGTTACGTATGCGTATATATGTTTTCATGTACATATACAATATATGTATGTATGAGTACACAGAAGAAATGATAAAACAAACAACTCAAATGCGGCACGCGTACTTCAAGCGTTGTCAGCTTTTTCTACTGTCTTACTTTCTTACACAAGTCTGCTCATACATTTAAACATGTATACCTGCTACGCACATACATATACATACTAGTATGCACGCCGTTACACATTTTGCTATGTTCGTTTGTGTTTGTATTTGTTTTGTAGTTTGCCGAAAGTGATGACTACGCGAAAATTGCCACTGACTCTTTGTATGCTCACATATATACATATTTATTTGTATAGCTAAGGTGGCTGTGATACGTACATATATTACATACACAAGCAAATATACCTATCTGCATGTATGTATTTATGTATGTATGTGGAAAAAAAATCAACAGAACTGTGTTTTCTTCGCATTTATATTTGGCTCTTCCCTGTGTATTTAATTCACCACAGATGTGTGTAAATAAAATTGCCGTTGCATATTTTTAGGGGGAACAGGCGAATCTGTTCTGTTCAACTATCAATTTCGCTATCAACTATTTAGGTTAGAATTTATCGCCACACAGTGGTTGTAGCGGCAAAATATTTAAGGCTGTGTTTGTTGGCGTAAATTTATTTGTGTCTAATTTGATGTGTCACCGTGTTGACATGTCTAATTTACTGCCGCTGATTGTGATGTTCGAAACATTTTTTTCCCACTAAATGAAAATTGCGTAAAGAAACATGACAATTTGTATGTACATATGTATGTAAGGTGATGTTTTACTTGATTTCATTTTGTTTGTAAATAAAATGCGTGGGAAGGCCTTAGAGCAAGAGATAAAAGACTGAAGAATTCGCAAACCATCAAGCCGCACGTTGGCGCATCTAATCACTTTTGGTGTTGATAGAATATGAAATGACACAGACTTTATAGCGTATTGTTATTGAAGATGAAACGTTATGGGAAAGGATCTATCTTTAAATATGGATCTTCTTAAAATACATTGATTATGTGGTGGGAACGCACATATGATGAGCATACTGTCACACGATTTTTGTGGGGATGAAGTAGAACCAGAGGCTCTAGGGCACTTCCTTTTGAGAAAACAGATACTTGACTAGCGGGAGGATCTTCAATGGTGTATCAAAGCGGCCGGTTTGTGGTCGTAATGCACTGATGACCCAGTTATGTCGCCATTAGGACAGAAACCTACTACCCGCTGCTATGAAACAAAAGCCAATCAAAATATCAGCACCACTATACTTCATGGGTTTTCTGCATTTGCGCTACTCACTCTGACTTTGTTTGAAGAGGACAACGCCTACCATCTACGCTCCACTAACATGCTTTCTATCATACTGAAGTCAGGCCTCTATTCCAAGTGAGTCCAAACTAATACACTGTTCTGAAAGGATGCCTTCTTCAGCTGGTACTCGGTTGCCGTGTGATTACGAGCCCAATAAACTCACTCTCTTTACATTTAGGCGTATTCCCTACAGCGGCAAATATTTGTTCCAAGACGATCAGTGTCAGCTTGAATGACCTGTTTATCAGCCACTGGACGCAACAAACAAGAATTTTCCATATTCATACAGATTCTAAAGAACCAAAATGGGTGAATCAGTGATCAAACCTAATTTTTACCATTTCTACTGCCTTTTAAATATACCACATTTCGAAGCTCTAAGTAAGGGAAATCCAGTATTTTTTTAACCTTATCAAGCCTTAAGGATGTATATTCGGAGATGTACTTAATAACAAAAATCAATTAAATACAGAATAATATCGTTTTTTTTCAACTTACCACATGTGCCTGAGCGCACTCGTCTATGTAATGTGTGGTGATTATCACAGTTGTATTGCCAGTTTTTGTTATGTCAACCAAATGATCCCAGATGCTGCAAGTCACATGAAAAAATAAATCACATATACATATAAAATTGTTCATATGTATGTATGTATGTATGTACAATTTGTGTGTGTCTGGTCGTGTGCTTGCTTGCAGGCACATGCTGCACACTATTCAATTACCTTTGCCGCAAGACTGGATCTACGCCCACTGTCGGCTCATCAAGTATAAGCAACTCCGGTTCGTGCAACAGCACCACAGCCAAGCTCATACGCCGCTGTTGGCCGCCACTGAGATTTTTCACCTGACGCGAACCATTTGGCAAATTCAAAAATTTCAACAAAAATTCCGTACGGTCATCGACATCGCTGCGGGCCATAGCCGAAATCATGCCGAAGTAGATTAGTGTTTCGCGCAACGTGAACTCGCCATAGAGTGCAACTTCCTGCGGGCGTGCGTGTGGCATATAAAAAAAGAAATGAAAAAGAGGAAAACGAATTGAAAAACACTTTGCAAAAAAGGTGTAAATTGAGCAGACAAAAAATGTAAGTGTAAATTTACAAAAAATAAAAAAGTGGAAAAGAATATTCGAGATGAGAAATAAAAGAGCAAGGTATGCATATTTTCTTGCCAAGAATATGTATTTTAAAACAAAAGACATTTATATTCAGAATAATACAAATTTACATGTTTAATTGAATGCTTTATTTATCAGAATGTAAAAATGGAAGTATATGGACATAACAGATTTTCACGGACTTCTTTTGACGCCAATTCTTTAGCAGCAAAATCTCGCATCATAGACAGGAACAGATGGTAATCACAACAATGTTTTCGGAGCTTCTGGCGGGACACTATCGAAGTGTGTGGTCTGACGTTGTCCTGATTCCAACAGTTGCCCTACTGTTGGTAAAAGCTGAGCACTGAATTTCTAAATTCAAAGCTTCGCTACTGAATCATAACAAATTCTGATCCACTTTTCATCACCAGTCACCTTATGCTTCAGAAATGGGTCGAATTCGTTATGATTTAGTAGCGATTCAAAGATGGAAATTCAGTCCATGAGGGGTTTTCTCGTTCAACGTTCAGCTTATTTGGGTGCACAGCCTTTTGAAATGGTTCCAAATAGTTTTTTGTGCAATGTGAAGTTCTTCGGTAACTGAAACAGTGCCCTCATGATGAGACCAAAATTATGCATGCTAGATTGGGGTTTCCTGTCCATAGCCGGGCTATCTCTCAGTGGGGTTGTGGGTATCTCGTAAAATCGTTAGATTTAATATCATATTATATTTTATATGTTTCATTTTTAAAAACAGAGTATTTGGGTAAATGACATAAATTATTTTCGAAAGCCTAATCTGCTTTTGGCTGAGTTTTTGGATGCATCTAATGTAAAAACAAAAATTTAATTTATTAATTTGTTACCTACTTTTTTTTACTTCTTTATAGTGCCATTTAGCAGGATCTCTGATTCAACTGGTCACATCACATCAACATATCACTTGATAACATCACAACTTCACTTCATTATCGTGTCATAGCACGTCAATATAGAAAACGAACAAGTCTTGAAAACAATACACCGCTTTAATATATCACAAGAACTCATCACATCACATCGATATATTAAGTCATATCAACACATCATCACACTAATATCACATCATATTAAAAGAATTGGTCACATCATATCAACACCTCACATCATACCAACACATCATTACATGATGTAATGAGTGTGATGAGTTTTACTATGAAGTAACACTCAACCACATTTATACCACATCTAATACATCACGAGATCAACAAGTCTTAAAAACAACACATTTATTCAATATATCGCAACAACACGTCATATTACATGAATATATCACATCATAGTGAATATATCACCACATTAACTAAAATCTTAACCCGTCAGCAGTTCGACACATAATGAAAGCAATCCTCTGATTCATTATATCGCAACAACTGGTCACATTACATCGACTTATCACATCATATCAACACATCATTACATCGACTTATCACATCATATCAACACATCATTACATCGACTTATCACATCATATCAACACATCATTACAATAATATCACATCATATAAACATATCATTACAAAAATATCACATCGTATCAACACATCATTACAATAATATCACATCGTAGCACGTCAAGAAATCAACTGGTCATAAAAACAACTTACCGTTGCAGTATTTCGCAGCATTTCGTCATATTGGCTGAACATATCACATCATAGCTGCGCATCACCACATTAATATCACTTCATCGCACGTTAACAGATCAACATATAGTAACAATAATGTACTCATGCAGTATATCACAACAACTCGTCACATCAGAGCAACACATCGTAAAATCAATTTATTTTTGCAGTATATTAATATCACTGGTTACATCATATCAGCGCACATCATCACTTCAATATCAAATCGTATCACTATTTCCTCATATTAATATCATATCATAGCACGTCAGCAAATCAACACACATAACTAACTGATACCACAACAACTCGTCACATCACATCATTATATCACATCATATGAATACATCATCATAATAATACCACATAAAATTGTGTAAAGCTCTTACGACAGCGGACTAAACTAACGCCCCTTTTGTCGATTGGTAGCCTCTTAACATATATGTGAGGTACTTTACGCTAGTAAGCTTGTGTTCAAGAACTACTCTACATCTCCTTGCACTTTTACGAACACATACTTCCTTACAGTTGGCGAGAACCAACTCCTTCTGTGGGGAGATAGTAGCGATAACATACTCTACCATTTTTAATAACGCGTATGAAGTGCTAAGTATCAAAACGAACTCGATAATCATTTTGTTTTTATGAAAAACCACGGAATTCATCGAGCTTACTTCAGCGAAAATCTGGAATTAACCAAACTCTTATTCTTTGGCCTTGACTCGTTGCGACAACTACATTATCATACCACTAATGCTGAGTACAAGTAAGTACTCGAATGCTGCATCTCTTTAAGTTTTTAAGTATTTTTTCTTCTTTTAGAAATTTGGAAACTATTAATTTTCCCTGGCTTGCTTTTATTTTTTACTTCTTATTAATTTTTTTTTCTAATACTATGAATATCCAATAAAATTTTGTTTCCATACAGTTGACAAAGTAATAAAAGAAATTTGAATTCACTAAAAACTGACTATAAATCATTCCTCACTCAACACAGAGGCAACAACAATAACCCCAACGAAACTCAAAACCAACCAATTGACGAGGTGCGAGATGTGTATGGGGGTTTGTGTCTTACAAGTGCAAGAAATATTGGTGGCAATATACAGAGACACCAAGCGTTTAATCCGATCTTCAAAATGCCGTTCATAAGCTATTTGCGGCAACGAACATGCCACCAACGAAGACGCTTTGGTTTGACGCCTTCGACGTCTTCCCGCACCGCTAAATTCAATAGTATTTTGGTCGCATTTAAACATCTAAGGAGCTCAACGCTGAGACGGAGGTTCCTTTGCGCTCTTGTTGTCTGACATGGCCGGCGGGAATATTCTTATTATGGCAACAATCGGCATGAAAAAGGAAATATATAAAAAGGATGTAGCAAGTGAAGTAAGCTCAGCGAAATTCTGTGAATGGAACGCGTGGAAAGTGTCTCACTGCAACATTTTGTGTCGCAAACGCTAAAGGAGTAAGCGGCGAGAATGTGGGCGAGAAGACGGCGTCGTTGAGGACAAAGTGATGTTAGACGTGCGCGTTGAATTCGGCAGATTTATGAGCGAAAATCTGCGAACAAGTGTACAATGGTAAGTACAACTGAAACGTGTGGCTAAAGCGTGTGTACTCGTATAGCGTTACTTATATTATATGTATGTATGTTAAATGAATGTCAGTGAAGTCGTACCGAAGGCGTCGGTTACAACAATGGCGGTTATTGCGGTTGTAAATATGTGTTCGAGGCTGCTTTCATTGTTTTGCGATTTTTTACTTGTTCATCCTTGGGTTGCCGCTCACAAATCCGCCCATAATCCCAAACTAAATTCATGTAGACGCATCACAATGGACAAGCCGCAATGGCAAACGTAGTAAGTCGTTGTAAAGAGTGCGCTACGGCATGGTGTCTTTGAGTCTTTTTTTCCACTTTTTAAGGAAATCGCTTGGTTGCTGGTAGTATTCCTTGGTGGCTGATAAACCAGTTTGAGTTATAGTCTCGCTTCATGACCAACTTCAAGATTTATATGTCTGTATCATCGTCTCTTACTACCATTTGCCTACAAAATTTTTCTTTTTTTCACTTTTTTATTTCCCTTTCATTTCCGCAAGAAGTTTTTTTTCATTTGTGATGTATTTTTAGAAGCGACCTAAAAAGTATATGGATCACATTTAATTTTGATTTAGAGCTCAGAAGAGTTCGAAGATGGTATTAGTACGAAGAAGAGGAGAAGGATTTAACGGCAATGTTGTCTTTTGAACTAATGAACCCGAAAGTGATGGGAAGTGATTTTTTTCTCTGACTAAACCTCGAGTTCTGAACCCTCGGCATGATGGCACACACTTCTAAACTTTCCGTGCTGTAAAGACAAGAAAGGCGGTCTGGTGACCAATGATCAGTGCATACTGAGTTCATGAAACGAACAGATCTCGATCCTGTTTAATTGCAGTTATGAAGAAATCACAGAAGATAACGAACATAAACTTGCACTCGATAAAAATTATATAGACGTTCCAACTACCACTTGATTGAATCTTATCAGTTTGCTCTTATAAAGCTCAGATAATCACCATCATCCAAATCCCGAAAAGGACCTTTGAAAAATGGATTGAAACACCCACCTTTTAGACGGTGTTCAAGCTGTCTTAGACAGCTCAAAAAAAGGAGTAGCAATTACGCCACTACATGTGGACTCGGTAGCCCTTTAAAACTCCGTCAGACATCCAGTGACTTTTTAAATATAGTTTGTTAGAGAATATAATTCGAGCTGGAGAGCCGAATAGAGAAGGTATAATTTTCTTTAAGACTGCAGATGGTAGTAAGCGCGGTCAAGACGTGATATTTCCGGCAGCAAACAAACGACTCGGCTCCCATGTCGCTATTGAGAGTCACAACTTTGAACTTGTAGATAATTTCGTTTACCTTGGAATCGGTATTAACACCAACAAGATGGAAATCCAACACAGAATCACTCCGGCCAAAAGGTGCTACTTTGGACTGAGTAAACAATAGAAAAATAAAGTCCTCTCACGACGAACGAAGATCAAACTTGACAACTTACTGAGAGAGTGAGAGATTTTGCGTAAGATTAAGGTCTTTGCGTATCGATAAGTTGTAGGATTCGTGCGGTACGAATGGATGAAAGCCCTCCAACTTAAAAAATTTTCGATGCATTTCCTGCCGTTGGCAACTCTGCTGCAATATAAATTTAACTACTGCTATAGGGAATAAAAAAAACCATTAAATCTTTATTTGAATCGATAGTACGGTCCATATAATTTTATGTTTGAAGATTGCCTCATGCAAATGTTGACCGCGACTGCTCCTCAAATGGTCCATCCGCCTAGTCTAATTTTGGCATACTCCTTCCAACACTTCAGTCGGTATTTCGCGAATAAATGTTACAATGTTATTCTCCAGTGCATCAATTGGAACGGGCTTGTCTGTGTAGACATTCCATTTAACATAGCCCCACAAAAAATAGTCTAAAGGCGTTAAATCGCACGATCTAGGCTGCCAATTGACCGATCCTGAACGTAAAATAAAATGTTCGCCAAACTCGCCTCTCACTAAGTCCATTGTTACGCGTGCTGTGTGGCACGTGGCACCGTCATGTTGAAACCACATGTCATGCGAGTTAAGCTCTTACATTTTGGGCAAAAAAAAGTTAAATTATGGTTAAATTATAGACCAAACTGAAGATGTTTTACAGCGATACAAAACACGAAACGTGCGACAGCTGTTTAAACGCCAGTGTTGCCAAAGAGATAATGGTTAAAAAATCACCCTTTATAAGCAGATTAGATGTACCACGCCCATATAATTTTGTTTGAGTTCGATATATAAGTTATTAAGTTATTTGTATTTATTGACTGAGAGTGCCATACACCCTTTGTAAACGAAAAAAGAGTTGGACTCATCAACTCCAATTTGATAAATTCGCTATAGATCCGGAACAACAAAATTTCATTCTCCCTACTTTATGGCTCCTCAAAATATATACGCCAAATGCTTTGTAGGTAACTTAAGTCCTCAGCGCGTAAATTTTTTAAGCGAGCGAATTATTTTTGTAGCTCTCCTTTAAGCACTTAAAACGCATTTTTATTGGTTCAAATAGAGAGTGAAATGAAAGCAAAAGAACTTTCTTAAAAGAGTTTAAAGAAAAGAATCCAACCAATTGCGAGTTCGTGCAAACACTCACAAAATGTGCTATATATATGCGTACATAAAATACTTTTTCCACATTCAATTGTTTATGTTTTTGTTTAAGTGCCACAAAAGTGGCTTATGCAGTGGCTTTACGAAGCGCTAAAAAGTATTCTTCAGTATTTTCAACCGTTTGGCGTTGATATGTATACAAAGTTAATGTAAGGATTCATGTATATACATATGTACATAAGTGGTGTGGTGGTATGGTTTTTACCTTATAAACAATTTATTTTGTCTTTTAAAAAGTTTAACAAATAAAATGCTCAAAAATGTTATAGCGAGCTTATGAGTAATGAATAAATGAATTCTAAGAGTAAATATTGCTAATTCACCTGCGGCATATATCCAATACGTGGTCCAGGTACACCAGAGCCTCTGGATCCCGGCCGACCGCCGAGTACCCAGATTTCGCCCGAATTCAAACGACGCCTGCCAACTATGCATGAGAGCAGAGTTGTCTTACCACAACCTGAGGCACCTAGTAGGCCATAACTGTAATAGAAACAAATCAAAGAACAAATTAAAAATGTTGACACTATCAGCAAAAAAATATAAATTAATTACAAATATTATAAAATAAATTAGCATATTATTAAAATTAATAAAATTTTAAAACTAAGAAATAATTCCAAGATAAGTTTGAAGAATTGAAACAAAATCGAAGTAGTTCTAGTTTTCACGATTTTATTACGAATGTTCCCTTTCCTCTAATTTGTCTTCTTCGGCATTTGCATATACCTTACTTAATTTAACTTATTTTATTTTATTTAATACTATATAAATTTAAAAAATTTTATTTAATTTTGTTTCATTTCGTTTTATATTAATTTGTTTAATATAATTTTATTTTTTTTGTGTGTTATATAATTGCATGTTATTTTAATTTATTTCATTTTTTTTTTTATTTATTTTAATTTATACAATTTTGTTTTGATTAATGTTTTTTATTTTATATTATTTTATTTTATTTTATATTATTTTATTTTATTTTATTTTTGTTTTATTTTATTTTATTTTATTTTATTTTATTTTATATTAATTAATTTAATTTAGTTTACTTTTTTTCATATTATTTTAATATTTTTTAATTTTCTTTATTATTTATATATTATATTTTTAATTTTCATTTAATTTTGTTTTCTTTTATTTTATTTTATTTTAATTTGTTTTATTTTTCTTCATACTATTATATTGAATTGAATTTTGCCAAATTTCCTAGAAATACGAAATTAAATTCTTCTCTTCCAGAATTGCTGTTGCATTGCACTTTCTCAAACTGAATGAATAACTCGATATTTTTTCCACCTCCACACAGTTACAAATAAATTAAACTTTTAATTACACATTTGTTATTTAGAAGCTTAACTGAACTTTAATTACTTACTCACGCTTAATTATAACACATTCATGAGTGCGAGTGATGCTGCGCCGGCGAAATGAGCAATTGAGCGAATAACTAACAAATGAACAGCCAACTAATGGGCAGAGTATGGCGACCGAAGTTAAATGCTCAAGCGAGGAGGTGAAAAGGTACATAGAAAAACACATTTGAGCGCCACAAACTTAATTGTTGGAATTTTGAGATTTTTAAGGGGTTTTCGGAATTCAAACGAGTTGTAACTACGATGGGTGAGTAATTAAAGTACCTCATTAGTCTTCTTAAAGCAGCGAAAGTGTGGTTTTGTGTAGATGGAAATAATCAATACTCTCGAAAAATTGTGTATAAATATATCTGTATATACGTGTCTAAGCAAGATTAAAGTAAATACAATTGTTTGCCAGCAATTTGGATATATCATACATATTTCACTTGTACTCAGACGTATTTTATATTTAACTATTTTCAATTGCATTGCGCTTTCAATGACATTTTAAATTATGATTTTCATAACTAATACTGCACTCATTCACACCCATACATACATATGTACATACTTTCACATATTTTTACTCGCTCTCATACTTTCATTGCACATTAATTATTAATCTGTGCATTGCCCTTCAAATAGAATTATTCCACACAGACAACATTTTTCGAACGCTCAGAAGTAATGAGTAGAAAACTGATTCGGGAACATGTAGATTTAGATGTAGTTGATGTCTTAAGACTGTCTAAGCGATCTTCAAGTTTGTGGTTTGAAATGGCGGCTTCAAAACCAACAACCATTGGCGGAGTATATAAAGTGTATATAAAGTGGTTTAAGGTTCAGCTAGCTTGTGATATTCTAGACGACCCTTACATTGTTGACTTAGATAAGGACATGACAACTAGAGCTCCCGGGTGATCAGCTCCAGCTTCGTTCGTTGCTCAGCTGCAGAAATATTGGTTTGAAATTTTACAATATTAAATTTTGTTTCTCAAACGTTGTTTAGTATTTCGTTGAGTTTTATGGAAAAACGTTTTGAGAGAACAGTAAAAATGTTCATAATACTCGAATTGCTCGAGCGCGAGCAATGAGCAATGAACAAATGTGCGAGCTGCTCGAGAAATTATTCGAACGAAACCTTACCGACAATTTCATAACTCCTAAATGACTGATTTGTTGCATTAGCTGCTCGCTGGGTCAATATCTATATGTACATACCACAAGTATGTAGTTGTGCACTACAAAAATCTTCATAAATATTTTATAATCAATCAGAGCGCATTCCACCGCTACTCAACTCCACTATCATTCCCACCCCCGTCAACTCGAAATCTCAGTTTTTCATCAACAGCGATTCAGCAAATTTTCTACAAACCATACTTACTGCATTTCATATTAAATATTTATCTGTATGTACTGCAGTTTGTCTGCCCTTTTGTTCACAGACATGTCAATTAGTAATGCAATTGCATATAGATATATACACGTGCACACTTACTTACATAGATATATAGAATGAACAGGTGTTACTTGACCAAGTTACAAGGTGAACGCTTAGATAGAACGCAACTGCCACTTACCACTTACCACATGCCACTTGCCGCTCGCCATCACTATCAACTCCTCAACTACCAACACTTGGTAAACTAACTCAACTGTTGTCGTCCTTCCTTGTTGGTCGTCCTTCAAGCACTCGAAGTGTAATGCAGTGAATTGTAAAAATTTCAAAACGGAAATGAAATTAGGAGGTGTTGAGGGCAGCACGACATAGTGGATATGAGTTAGTGTTGGTGTTGGTGTTGGTGCTGGTGCTGGTGCTTGTGCAGTATTTGTACACAAAATCTCCAATTCAATAGACTCTTCACAGCTGTTGTCTGGACGTTATGCAAGTCTGTGAACAATTCATTATTTCAGCACCCAGTTGACGAAAATTAGTGGGATTAAGGCAACAGATAAAGAATGATATTAAATAATTCTACAAATTACCAATCAAGGTTCGACGTTAAAACCTGCTAAGGTGCTCAGTTTAAGGAAAGAATCTTTGCTCCACTTTTTTTAGTTCCTCTAAGATGTTCCTCTTTAGGACAACTTTTCTTCAGTTCAAATTAAATTTTAGCTCTGAGCACAGTCTTGTGACCACACCTGCATCGGCTATGAATGTGTCTTTGGATCTACCCTCACTGACATTTGGAGGATCTACTACACAGCTTGTGCTGAAGTAAGACTATAGAAAGTGTCTGTAGAGATACTGATAAACCACGGACATCCCACTATATTTTTTAAAAGCTTCTGTCTCCCAGAAATACGGAACACTGCATAACCTTTGCTGACTACACACATTAGATTAACTCACTACATGTTATTTGTTCCGAAAAGCATCCAACGAGAGAAGGTTGTTCCAGCATATGCAGACCCAATTCCCTTTCATACGGATGGATCCACTGAAAATGAACCTAGAAATGATCAAGTCCTTTCGGCTAACGGATCAATGTGGTGTATACCTAATGGAACTGGCGTCCACACACTTCATTACTTATTGTCTAGATCTTATGCATCAACAACTCCTCCACTGAATCTATCCTCATAAACGGTAGAGAGTTGCCGCAGATTACTTAACTTGATGACTAAGCAGTTCACTTTGAATCTTGTATGAGCATCCGTACACAAAGTAACATAGTACGTAAAAAGCTGGCGGACGAGCATTCAATAAAAGGTCACTCCACTTCATGAAGAAAGAGTATGAGCATATAGCTTTTCACTTGTAAGACCTCGTTAAAAGAGTTGTTCTTCGCATTTGCTGACTTTAAACGGAAGATTCTCTATTGTTGTAACATGACTACTTTAAAATGACCGGCATGAAAGGTAATAAGGACGAGAGAGCTTAAGAAAATTCATACTACCAAACAGGCACACAGTAGGCCTACCATCAACCGAATTCTGCAGTAGTCGTATAGAGGAGGGAGACCGTAAATATGAATGCACCACACTTTGGAGAGGCAGGTCTCTAGGGCGGCAACCTTGGAGGCTTGAGAAAAATAGTGAGAGTAAACTCTACATATTGGTTTGTCCTAGCATGGGGATTTTAAGTGGTCTGATGCCAAGTAGACTTTTCAACCTAACCTAACCTAAAGGACGGGCTGGATCAATTAATACTATTAACATCACAAATTTCAATTATTGACAACGGATTTACTGAGGACGAACCTACATGATTCATGCAAGTGAGGAAAGTTTATGACTGCCATTCAACTTGGAGTGGCATATGGTTCAAACGGCTCACGGCTTCCGGTCTTTGACCAAGTATCTCCAACTTAATCAACAAACATAAAATGAGCAGGCAAATGCGGTTGTGCGTGAGGCAACTGAAATGTCCGGTCCCTTATTTGGGAAGGCGCCGCTATCCAGCTGGTTGATGTCTTAATAAGATTAAACGTTGACTTTAACGCCGTTCAAGAAGTCGGATAGTCGGAACAAGGTTGAAAGAAGGTGAGTGCTTGTGACATTTACTACAGCGGCCGTTAAAAAAAGAGCTAAATTTTAGTGTCGGATTTGTGATGGGAGAGAAACTCCGTTGCCGAGTACTGGCATTCAAACGGGTGGCCGAACGTCTCGTCACAATCCGCATCAAAACGAAACGCTTATAAGCGTCGCAACCGCCACGATGTCAAAATTGCGCTTGGCGACTTCAACGTCAAGTTATTATGCTCAGAAGGTATCTTCGACGCAATTCAGCATCCACGACGAAACATCCTCAATTGGGTTAAGGCTGATCAACTTCGTCGGGGCCGGAAATATGGTTGACTGTAGTATTAGATTCCAGCATAAGAAAACTCATCAAGCTACAGAGAAACCCATTACCATATCGATCATGTTGCGATTGACGGAAAACATATATTCGACTCGGAATACTATCTTTTGCGCGGTGAGATTACGCACGCGCCTCTATTTATCCAAGAACGTGCGCCAACAAACACAAGAAAGGTTCGACGTTGAAAATTTGCAATCACAGCAGACTGCCAAACGATTTTCTACTCGGATTGCACTCCAGCACTATGTGGGCACTCATCAGCAGCTCGGTGTAAGGGAAACTATTGGATTTCGAAAAGGTAACAACAACAACTGGTA